TTGTGCCTTTCTTCAGCTAAACTCCAAACTATGACATAACATATGGCAATACTCTTATTAAAAAATATTGTCTTCCTTCCCGACTTATCTGCTTGTCCTGTATCCAACACAACATTCAGCTACTCCAAGGGTGGTGCTACATATCACCTTTTTCCTTCTGGCAATTTCTTTTCATTTCTCTCTGAAATATGAAGACACAGCAGGAAGAAAAGCATGAAGGCTCCAGAGCACAGTGTGATGAGTACTGACAGTACAGTAACCCCTGGTGGGGGGGGTCAGTGTGTTGTGTTGTGATTCTCTTAAAAGTTCTGCATCAGTTTTTGGATGTCCAATTGAATTTGTATGCTTGAATTATCCAGAAACAAAACTGAATCACAAATTATTGATGATGCATATCCTTACATTATACCCAAACTGCAGAGATCCTGTAACTGATATTTAATCTGAGTAGTTGCTCAAGTCTAGTTAGAAAGTTATAGCAATAGCTGTCAAGAGTTTGTTGCAGCACAATCACACAATTCAGCAGGATTCAAAACTTCTTTATATACACTACTCAAAAAAATAATGGGAACAGTAGTTTTGTGTTCCCTTTAGTTGTTTGAGCAGTGTATAAACTACTGTATGTAAAGAACAAAGTATTTAATAAGACCATTTCATTCATTCAGATCTTGGATATCTTCTGCTTGTGTTCCCTTTATTTTTTTTGAGCAGTATACTGTATATAATAACACATAAGGCAAATATACAATACCCATGCTGGTTTTTCCAACATGGTAGAGAGAAGATATTGTAAGTAGGTACAAACACAGGCCAGGGCAACATAGACAAAGTAAGTCTCCTATATACAGAACTGTTTAGCTAAATCACGCCCAGGCTCCTAGCTGTCTCTTGTGGCTCACACAGCAACTACCATGTTTCAGTTACCAAACAGTTCTCATTGGCTGATCTTGTTGCCATGTCTACTCAATTGGCTGACCTTGTTGCCATGCCTATTCCAGTTCATGAATATGTCTACACTGACAATAGCAATAGCACTTAGACTTATATACCACTTCATAGTGCTTTACAGCTCTTTCTAAGCGGTTTACAGAGTCAGCCTATTGCTCCCAACAATCTGAGTCCTCATTTTACCCGACCTCAGAAGAATGGAAGGCTGAGTCAACATTGAGCCTGGTGAGGTTTGAACTGCCAAATTGCAGGCAGCTGGCAGTCAGCAGAAGTAGCCTGCAATACTGCACTCTAACCACTGTGCCACTGCGGCTGTTAAAGTTATGGCTTCAAGGAAAAATTACATTTGAGAAGTTTTCTTTAACTGTTTTCATATTTAAAAATATGAAACTATTGATTCCAAAATCTAGCAAAGCCTATAGAAACATTAAGTCCATTTAAAGATCTTTCCTTTCTCTTCCATATCTGTTTGTCCCATCCAGTAAAAAACTCAGCTGTCCTCTAGTACCTGTGCTCCATTTCATCGTTTGCTTCCTGTCAATTATTTCTCATTGTTCTTTCAAATGTGACAACATGGTAGGGAAGGGAGCATAGAGTTTCAAGTGCAGAGTGTGAAGAATAATGACATCAACCTCCAATTACACTAATGGGCACCTTATTTCTAAAATATTCATAATCTGTCAGAGCAATCCAGACGGCATTTTCTGTTCCTTCATGTCATTGCTCTACCAAAGTTACCTGGGACTCAAAGAGAACAGAGCTCATTCTCAGCATCTTTTGCACAAAAATTTCCTAGGAACAGGAAATTGAACTGCTTGACCTGAAGCTACATTATGTAATATCCAGAATGCTGGGGCCATTGTGAAACTGTTTCATTTTTACATGGGAAGAGCAGGAGACTGGAGGAAGAGCTGTCTTTGCTTTTGTTTCAGTATGAGATTATCTGGTTGCATCTGAACCCAACAGGTTTTCGTCAGACATGAAGGGTTATGGTATCTGCAACATTGTATAAATGTGTCCCTTTTGAAGGTGCATGCAACATCAATGCACAAAGAGAAAGGATTGGGTTTAGTTCACACAGCTGCAATTGCCACCTTGGTTGTTTTCTCTCTCTCTCTCTCTCTCTCTCTCTCTCTCTCTCTCTCACACACACACACACACACACACACACACACACACACACACACAGAGAGAGAGAGAGAGAGAGAGAGAGAGAGAGAGAGAGAGAGAGAGAGGAGGGAGAGAGGGAGAGAGGGAGGGAGAGGGAGAGGGAGAGAGAGTGTGTTCTAAGATCCTTTGCTTATTCCATACTAGAAATTTGCAGGGCTAATTAATATGTATGTGTTTGTAGTTCAGTAAGTAGTGTAGGAGAGATCTTTTAGAATATTTATGATTGCACTTGAGACTGAATGCTCACTTTGGTCTTGAGAGGATGTAAGCTTCTCAACACCAGAAAGAGTGGCCAGAGTCTAGGAACAGATCTGGCTGTGTCCCAAGGCATCTGGCCAGGTGACTCTGACTCGTGGAAGGATTATAGAACTCCTCAAACACCAGTAACCAGTATGTCATTATTAATAAATTTGTGGCTTTTTTTTAAATCCCTATTGTTGTTCTGGTCAGATATTAGTTAAGCAATTAATATTTGTGAGACCCTCCTGAGACCCATAATCAATCCATCAATCATTGGGTGAGATCAACCACACAGTCTCTAGCCCTGTTTTGCAGGCCTAGCCTAAACAACCTGGCCAAGGCTGTTGGCTTAAGGAAGATAACTTCTGCTAGGATCAATGCAAAATCCCCAAATTATTTTTTTCCCAATTATTGCTTGTGTAATAGCAGGAGGCCAGCCAAGATATTTTCCAGAGAAAACATGCACAAACAGATCAACAGATCCTGAAGCCCTGAGACCAAGTAGTAAAAAGAAGCACTTTCAAGCTCTTCCCTCTGTTGCTTTAGGGAAGGGGGTCTCCAAACTTGGCAGCTTGACTTGTGGACTTTAACTCCCAAATTCCCCAGAATTTGACTGGGGAACTCTGGGAATTGAAGTCCACAAGTCTTAAAGTTGCCAACTTTGGAATCCCCTACTTTAAGGCAGCAAGGAGAGGGCAAAGATCCTAGGGCTGGCAATGCTTCCCTCTCTCCTCTTGTAGAGCCAAGACGCCTCTCCTACGCAATGGGAGGTCTCTCCAGGTCGCTTCCCTGGCCAGAACAGGTGTTCAAAAGCAAGACGAGGAAGGGAAGGTGACGAGAAAGCAAGGGAGACTTAGCGGAGGAGGCAGAAGGATTCAGAACCACGGAGCTGGACAGCGCTTCACTGCCGGAGCTCAGCTACACCGCGCAGGTTACAAGTGGCTGCTTTTCCTCGCCCGCCCACAGCGCTCTCTTTTTTCTGCTCCTCAAAGGACTCGAAGCCAGACTCTCGCTCTCCGCCTAGCGTGGAGCAATTTCGACGCACACTGGCAATCTTTCCTTTTAAAAACCCAGTCTCAGTTCCGACGCCGGGCTCTGAGAGTCTCAGAAAGCTTCTGGGGCGAGGCGGGGCGTGGGGTTGCAATTCAAAATGAAAAGTCGCCTCACTTAAAACACAGGCTCAACAGCAGCTGATTTGGAAGAATCGGTACCGAGTCCAGTTGGACCAACTGTTCGAACCGCTTATTGTTTCCAAGTATGGGACAGCGCACTTTTCATCTCAGACCGCGACGCAGACTTGAGTCTCCGAGGAAAAGCACCCCTTCCTTTGGCAACTGCTTTGATGCAATTGCAGAATCTTTTAGCACCCGAGGGAGAAATTCGGTTTGGGAAGCAAGGCACGGGCTCTCGGCGGCGATAATAAGACAAGCCACGTGGAATAAAGGTTTTGTAGCCCCACCTAAATCCCACGCCCTGCAACCCACGCCCTGCTCCTCCCAGTTCGCTCCTTTTCGAAGGAGGAGTTACAGGCAGCGCCAGAACGCTTCTTCCCGGACTCCAGCGTTTTATTGAAGCAGCAACTTGCTACGTTGCCAGAGAAACAGATCAAGCTCGGGAAAGCATTGAAGTGAAGAGGTTTGGATTTTCACTAGAAGACCCACCGCTTAGAAAGTGTCTTATTAGACAAGACACTTTGAATGGGCTAATTGCTCTCCTGGTCGCTCTAGCCATCGTTTTATCTGTGCATTGGAGTGTGCACTGAGCGCTCTGCTGGTTAACCCATTTGCGCGCCCCTTGAGGAAGTGTCCCAGCACGCGTCGCTGACGACAATTTCTGAAGTTCACTTAATTCCCTCCCCACTCCTTCAAATGCTGACAGGGAAGTTAAAGAGACTAAGCAACGCCATTAACTTAAAAGAACGGCCGAATTCGGTTCTCCCGAAGCCCTTGGAGCAATTGAGCATGGTAACCCCCTAGAAGGCGGCCTGTTCCCTAGAAACTGCGGTAAGAAACCACGGCAGTTGCTTGCCTGCTCGGTGGTGAGAAGGAAAAATCTACGGTAGAACCACTGTCGTATTCTTTGCCAAGTGGTTATTCTAGCCGAACGCGAACCCACATTGCGATCATTCCCTTCGTATCTTTTCACCGGTCTCCATCCCCAGCAACTCCTATACGCGCGAACGCCACGATTCACATGGCTTTTTGAACCTGGAACCATAAGCCTGGGAAATGCCAGTCCAGTTTCGAAAAATGCTCGCCTTTTCGCAGGGATACCGAAAGGGAAAGGCAGCAAAAGAGAAATCAGGAAGGCAGGTCGACGAGCAAAAACTACCTGGAGATAGGAGCGTGGGCTCCGAAAGCAAACGGGGGACGGGCACTGCAGGCGGGTAGCCTGGGGATCCACTGCATTCCCTGCCCCCTGAAGGAGTTGGCGCTTTCGCTTCAGAGAACGGCAGGGCCAGAGAGGGAGGGGGCTTAGACAACCTTTCCCAACCACTCTGTCAGTAAAATGCGAGCTGAGAGCGCTCCCGCGCACGCTCGATTTATCTTGCAATCCATCAAAGCCACGGGTCTAAAGCCCGGCGCTCGGCTCTGGCCAACCACCTGCTGCTGGAGTTGCCGCCCGAGCACGCGTCGTCCTACCTGGAAGAGCCTGAGGATGTTGGCCACCATAATGGAGACGGAGCTGGCCGAGGCGCCGATGACTCCCAGCACCTTCTCGGGTTTGACGAAGACGGGCGGCTCGCCGTTGGTGCAGCGCACGTCGGAGGTGTCCTTCTGGATGAGCGCCTGGACGAAGGTGAGCGACTGCTCCAGCGCGTAGGTGTCCCGGGAGCAGGTGTCCAAGATGCGGGCGCCCAGGGTGACGTTGGGCAGCAGCTCGGGGTCGCTGTTGATCTGGTCCAGGGCGAAAAGCATGGCCTCCAGGCGGTGGACGCCGTCCTGCTGCTGGATGTCCCCGCAAGGCGCGCCGCTGGGGCCCCGGGCGTGGACCGGGAAGAGGCCGCCCAGGGTGATGTCCCCCTCCAGGCGGATGGAGTGCGGCGCGTACATCTCCTGGCCCCGCGCCCCTGCCCAGCACAGCCACTCCAGCAGCAGGCACCAGCAGGGCAACTTCGGCAAAGTCAGCGGCTGCACCCCGCGGAGCCCCGGCCCGAGCATGGTGCACGGCGAGAGCGGAGAAGGCGGCTGAGCCGGCGGAGGAGGGCGCCAAGGAGCGGGCTGGGCTGGGCAGGGCGGAGCTGGGCTGGGTGGAGAGAAGCGCCCGAACCGGCGGGGTCCCTCCGCGCGCGCCCCCTGCGATCGGCGAGGATTCCCCCGGGGGCGGAGAGCGGCCAGGCGAGGAAGAGAGTCGAGTCCAGTCCGGCGCCTGCTGCCGTCGGCGCTCTGCTCGCCCGCGCTGCCTTTCCTGCCGCAGCTCAGCACTGGGCGAAGGGGAGGCTCGGCTGTCGCTTTAAAAGCTTGCTCGGCTCCTCTCCGCCTCCTGCTCTCGTGCTTTGCCCACCTCCTTCGCGCTCGCCCTCCTCTCCCCACCCAAGCTTTGCCTGCCTGCCTGCCTGCCTCCCGCGCGTCATTACGCAGAGATGCGGGCCGAGGTAACCGCCGCTCGGCGAGGGAAGCCAAGGCGAGGCGCAGCGGTGGCGGAGGGGAAGCTTCAGGAGCTCCTGGCAGCAGGGGATGGACGGCACGCCGGAGGCAGACAGGCAGACAGCAAACCTCTGTCCCCGGGCGGATTTGGATCGGTGTTTTGCTGCTACGCTTACCCACCTGTTACCCTTCTGAATGTATTTATAGTTTATATCGTATAATCGTCTTCAAAGAGGATCATCTCTCCGTTGTGTCCCAAATTCTAATTTCCTTGGAAGGGACAGCCTAAGTTATCATCGAGCCACTGGCATCTTAAATTCTGTACAGTTAGGTCACCTCTGATCAATTCCTTTTTATTATTTTTATTATTATTAAAAATTGATTGTTTCAGTCTCCTGTAATCATCATTTTGTAATTCCCAACCATAAGATCATCTTGTTAATTCTGGGTAATATTGTTTCATCCAGCTACGTGGGATATAACTGGAAGGGCTCTAAGAATTAGGAGGAGTTACAGTAATGCAGAAACGGAATTATGTCATTTCTGAGTTGCCTCTCAAAAGAAACTGTCCTTCAGTCGGGATGAAGAAACTAAATACCTGACCCACAGTCATATTTCAGCACGTTTCCTTCTGTGAATGGGTCTAATATCTTTCTCTAGCTTGATCTTTTTATTTGGTTTAACATTTTAATCTTGTTTTATCTTTTTAATGACATGTTGGATTGTGCGGATTTCTAATGCACAGTTTGAGACATCCAATTGGAAAATGAGGCTTTCCAGGTTTATAAATCCAGTTATCTGTTTTAAGAACAGGAAGGATATGATTTGTTTGCCATGATATTATGAACTGTTTGTTAAAGTAGCTTACAAAGCAAACTATGTGTGGATTATAGGATAGCAAACTATATTAGGAAAGGCTGGAATGAGGAATGTGGAAGATTGCTGGCAACCAGCGCTTTCAGTAATAAAATGAGATATGCAATACCTGACTTGGGATATGGGAAGGTACTTTGTATGAGATGGGTCCAGAACCTGGGGCTGGATGGAACACTGGGTGTACATTTAGCATGCAATAAGCCCAGTCTAATTTTCAGTCAGTTTCCAAGGTCTTTGAAAACTATTTCACCATGGACACTCTGGCATGGTTGGGCACATTTCCTCATCAACTGTTACCTTATTTACCTACCAGAAATTAAATTTAAAATCTTCTACTGGTCTTTTCTGGATGATAAAGCTGTGGTGGCACAGTGGTCAGAATGCAGTACTGCAGGCTACTTCTGCTAACTACCAGCTGCCAGCAGTTTGGCAGTTCAATTCTCACTGGCTCAAGGTTGACTCAGCCGTCCATCCTTCCAAGGTTGGGTAAAATGAGGACCCAGATTGTTGGGGGGCAATATGCTGACTCTATAAACTGCTTAGAGAGGAGTGTAAAGCACTGTGAAGCGGTATATAAGCTTAAATGCTATTGCTGTAAGCAGGTAGTCTGACTATATTCATGGATTCCATATTCAATTGTTTTCAATATCTTAGTTGCAACTGATTGGTATGATTTTTTTTTCTCCACTGTGAGTTGAGCAGGCAACTAACAACCATTTGGATATTATGATTTCTATGTTGTAGCTGGTTGTAGTTTATATGATGCAGTTAAGTGTATTCAGAGTTTTTACACTTTACATTTTCTTGAATTATCCTCTCCATTCGTTAAACCAAAATCCTAGATATGGAAGGCTTTTGAGCTTTTTAAAAATCATGATTATAGTTCATCACATAGTCAGCCAACCGTTTAGAATTTGGCACTTTGTCTGCCTATCCAGTCTTTGCCAAGGATCTGGTATGGGCAGATATTGTTTGATGGTCTTGTTGCAGGATGTAAGCTGTTCCAAGTAAAGCTGCCTTTTGCAATTGACTGATGGTGATTTTGTCAATGTTGATGGTATTCAAGTGGTACTTCAGTTGTTTTGGGATTGCACCCAAAGTGCCTATTACTACAGTATTAGTGGTATAATATCAGGGCTGAGAGTGGAGTCAAACTTGGTTTTTCTCCATTGTGGGTGAGAGCACCTTACTCTGTACTCCACATCCTCACTGGCTATCAAATCTTTAAACGAGGACTTATCTATGATTCTTCATTACTGAAGTAAAAAAACATTACGCAGAGAGACACTCATTCTCCTATGTTTCCACATCACAATTAAGTGGTTTGCATGGAACACTTAAAACTAGGATTGAGACTTGGCAGTTGCTTTTCTTCTCCTAGCCCTCGTGTTCTCTCATTACTCAACGGATTCCTGAGAGCAATTCCTCACTGCAAATTGAGCAGACAACCCAAAAATAGATCTCACACCAATTTTCTGCCCACTGCTCTCACTCATCATTTGCTGACATGGAGGAGGAGAGAGAAAGAGAGAGGCAGTGGACAGCAGGCGAAGAATTTACTCAGTAAGGGATGAACTCATTTGGGATCTGGGAGAGAAGCCAATCTCAGAGGAATCTTTATGTAGGTAGTTGGGTGGGATAACACACCCATATATCTTGATCTATTGCCATAACTGAAAGCGCTAGAGGCTTCAGTGACAGAAGTGGAAATTCAGATAGAAGACCACACACACACACACACACACACACACACATATATATCAAATTTATATTTTGCTGATAAAGAATATTCTTTATATACACACAAGATGACCATTGCTCCCATGTTTGCCTGTCCTTAAAGGACTGACAATGGTTCTTTTCATCCTTTTATTTGCAATTCAGCAATAGCTCAGCCCTCAAAGACAGTACACAATACAGCAAATCCTCAGAATTATTCCCAGCTGTCAGAGAGTAAATGTTGGCAAAGTTTCTGAGATCTTCTCTGACATTTGGATTAAGACTTTGGAAGTGCCCAATTCTATTAAAAAGAGAAACAGAAAAGGCCAGGAAACCACCTTACAGAATCAGAGCAAGAAAGAAATGTCTCTTTACGGTGCGCCTTAGATTCTTCTCAGGTATCGGTGTCAAACTGCATGGTCTAAAGTTGCTTGAATATCTCCCACCCCGCTTCTATTTTTATTTTTTTAAGATAAGAGCAACAGTTACCCTTTTTCAATTAACTGGCACTACCCATTGTCCCAAAATAAGAAAAGGTTCAACAAGGCCGTCATCAATTTTCTTCAGTAGCTAAAAAGCAATTCACTTAGTAAATAGTGTAGCTATGCCTTGACTATATTTTTATCAATGTCAAGCTTCCATCGTATTTATGTTATGTTATTTTATTTATTTATTTATTTGTTTTGTCAAGCATGTATAAGATAACAGACACAAGTGTAAACATGATTATGAATACATGAAATGGATACGAATAAATGGGGACAGTGGGACAGGGACGGTAAGCACGCTGATGCGCTTATGCATGCCCCTTACAGACCTCTTAGGAATGTGGTCAGATCAACAGTACACAGTCTAAAGTTAAAGTTTAATTTCCTCTTCTCAGCTGCCTGGTAGAATATGTGCCCTCTTGTTGGGGGAAGACTGTGTCAAAATAGGAGTGAAGTAGCTCTCCCTTTTCTTTTACTATCAGCATTTTGTTATCTTCATTCAGAAGCTAGTGATTTTTTTTTTAAAAAAAATCTTCCTTGTAGTTGAAAGATATCAGAAGAAGCCCTTTCTGTTGTTCTGAATCTGAATTTGCACTGAGTTTTATCTTCTCTGACATCATCACTATAAATCCAGGCTTTCTCTATGTATTCTTTCTTGATGACATGGCTTTCCTCCCACCTTCTATAGGTGTCCCTGGGGTTCCGTGCAATCTTCACTAAGCCTTTTCTGTGCCCACATTAGTATCTTCTGTCATCTTCTATTTCTGTTGAAATTCTATGCAGTTGCGCTTTCATTATCTACTCTTTAAAGCCATTCTGCCCAGTAGTGGGTTCCACTTACCTTCGCTATCGGTTCGGAACTGGGAGCATGCATGCTTCGCTCACACGGCACACTTCTGCACATGTGCAGAACCTTCTGCACATGCACAGAGCGTCCGTGATGACATCTGGGTGGGTGGGCAGAGCCTTCCACTGCCACCACTACCAGTTTGCCCAAACCGGGGCAAACCGGTAGAAACCCACCACTGATTCTGCCATATCTCAAGCTCTTTTTGCCGTGAGTGTTCCCCATTCACAAAATCCTGTTTCTCAGTGCTCTGAGGTTGTCCTTTTAGGAAGTTCAAGATAAAGTAATTTGCCCACATTCCGTATTATTTCCCACCCCACAAGAACTTTGCATTTCCAGTTCTTCAACTAAATCATTCTGCTTGGTTAGTATCAAGTCAAGGATAATTGATCTTCCTGTGCAAATCTCCCCTTCCCTGAAAGTAAAAGTTGTCAGCTAGACAAGCCAGGAATTTCTGGGGAGGACATGACTGATAGATCTTGAAGTAATTAAAGTGGCCCATCACCATTGCTTCCTGCCTCTTTGAAAGATCTGCAGCTTCTTTTTGGAAGACATCATCCACATCTTGTCCTTGGTTGGTTAGACAATGCAAGCTGCTAATTATAGTACTGCTTATAGTTATTCCTCCACTTATTTTAATCCAACTGCTCCCTTCAGTATTAGTATTACCATATGGAGGGAGAAAAGAATGGGCTGATGGTCAGCTCAGGGGTGGGTTCTAAATGTTTTTACTACTAGTTCTATGGGCATGGCTTATTTTGTGGGTGTGGTTTGATGGTCATGTGACAATTCTTTAGGATTTAGCAGAGGTACTGGTCTACCAGGCTTTTAACTGCTTGCAGAGCTGTACCGGTCTACCCATTTGTTTTTGGAGTGCACCAGTCTACCCATTTGTTTTTGGAACACACTGGTCTACCACCACACTGCCTTTTATCGATGATCAGTTGTAGGGTGGCCCTCTGAAGTGTGGGG